GCAGGAAGGAATAAGAAACTAGAAACAATAATGACCTGTATCAGAATAGGACATACAGGGCTCAATAAATCACTTTTTAAAGTTATAGGAAAACATGCAACGGGACTATGCGACAAATGTAATCTCCCTGAAACAGTACAACATGTTTTTATGGAATGTACTGGATATGAATTCGAAAGAAGAAGTTTCCAAAATGAAATTGATAAAATGAATATAAAATTTACAATTAATAACATTTTTAGTAGTGATGATAATAAAGTCAAAAATCAAATTATTATTTTCTTGAAACAAACAAATTTAATAGATAGAATTTAGATGAGGTATAAAGGTTAAGTTATTTCACAGAATTTTTTTTTTTTATTTTTTTTTAATTTATTTATTTTTTGTTTGTTTGTTGCCTGTATAACTCCTGCTCACACTCCAGCTCAGTAGGTGGCGGTAATGCACCTAACAATTGGTATGCCAACCGCCATAAAACAATACTAGAAGAAGAAGAAGGACTTCGCTGAAGCAACGCTTATGTTTGGTAAAAGCAGCTCAGCCTGAACTTGGTCTTGGTTACCTGTGCCTGTTAATGTTTGTTTATTTACCTGCCTCCAGAGTGGAACTCCCTGAGCCTCCTGAGAAACACTCACCTGAGATCTGAGAGCTACTCACCTGAGACCATCTGCACGCTGCCTGTCTGCCTCCTCCACAAACCTGTAAATATTCACCTGTACACCTGCACCTGTAAATACACCTGGAAACTCACCTTCAGAGCTGAAGACTCTGCACCCACCTGTAAGAAGACATTACTCTCCAACTTACCTGACGAATCTGCTCCACAGAAAACTAATCCTCGTTCCTACCACTTTCAGATCCCGACCCCATCCTTCCCTGGTTTAAATAAACATATTATTATAAACTTTTCTGAGCCTGTTGTTCTGGGTCTACCCACATTGACCTCGTTTAAAACCTGATAACGAGTTCTCTCTTTTCAAGCTAATTGTGCCATGTGACAGAGGTACTGTGTGTAGATGGCTTAATCAGTGACATGAGACGTTAATTTTCTTTGACCCATCAAAATAAATGTGGTCATTTATTAACAGAATCAAAATTTAACATCAAAACATTGTACACTTGATTAGACTGGTCTGGTTCTGATTAATAAAACTTGGCACGTTTTACTTAATAAAAAAAAAACAGACATTTCTGAAGGCTTCTAGATTAATTACTGGCAAGATAGAAGTTTAAAGATGGGAAATTATGGAGGAGTTTAAAGGAAGATGTTGAAGGAAGATGTATGTCTGTAAACCAGAACAACACGCTCCTTCCAAACGCAGTTCGCCCGCGGTACACTTGTAGTGAAGCTCGTGACGACTCTTTACCTTGGCAGAGGATGGGCCCGCTACCTTTCAGCGTCTCCTCAGGGCGGCTGCTACTCGGCAGAAGTTGTGAGATACTCCGTTCTACAGAACAAACTTCCTCAGAAGTTGTAGGGCATTCGCCTGGTGATAGTCACAGCAAGGCGCCGTGCCTCCAGCAGAGATGGATGACTCCATCAGACTGGAAAACTGAATCCGAAGTTCCACTCAGCAGTGGAAAAACTCCAGAACTACTCCACAGAACCCCAGAAGACTCAAGACTCAGAAAACTCAGAAGACATTACTCCACAAGACCCCAGAAGACCCAGAAGACCAATAGTTCCAGGAAGTGTCGACTTTTAAAGAGTTCTGCTTCCGGTCACTTTAGTAAGTCCTGATTGGTTGAAGCAACCAACAGGGGTGTGGTTCTAGTGATGTCAAAGGGTTTTTTCAAGTCAAGAAAACAGCAAGAATGTTTTAGGAACAGACAGAGAAATGTTTTGGCGAAGTGAGAAACACTGCAGGTGCCAGTTTTCTTTATTGTCTGAGAGTATTAAAAACACGACAGCCCGTTCTAACAACTTGTTCTTGACTGTCTCCGACTTTTGACCGACATCACTCTTTCTCATTTCAGACAGAAGATCAAAATGCATAATGACTTTGTAAAATAGACATTTAACTTGATTTCTAATTTAAATGAGGATTAAAAAATTCATTAATACTGTTTCACAGTTGATTTAAAATGAGTGGTTCACTTCAACATTTAAAAATGGTATGAACTAAACACACTTCTGATTATCAAGATATTGTAAAATAGTAATGATAATATAAAAAAGTGTTCTTTCAATTGATTAGTTCAGGATACAATTGGAAAGTCTCTGGATGAGCTAATTTGTATTTCTGGATTCAAATCAATGAAATAACAGTTCCTGTCCCATGAAGGTCTTCAGAGGCAGGTTTTGGTCGAAGGCCTAGTCCACTACATCTGTGTTCAACAGGAGAAAATTAAGTCATCCAGGTTTTTATGTCTTTAAGACATGCTTGTAGTCTAAGTAGCTGATATGATTCAATGGGTTTAATGGACAAATATAATTGTGTGCCATCAGCATAACAATGAAAATTTATCCCATGCTGTTTAATAACTTTACCTAATGGAAGCATATATAAAGTAAAGAGTATTGGCCCAAGCACTGAGCCCTGAGGAACTCCATGACTAACTTTGGTCTATGAAGAAAATTTATTATTTACATTTACAAACTGGAATCTATCAGATAGATATGATTTAAACCATTTTAGAGTCATTCATGTAATCCCAATATCATATTCAAGCCTCTGTAGTAAAATATTATGATCAACTGTATCAAATGCAGCACTGAGGTCTAACAGGACCAGTAGAGACACAAGTCCATTGTCTGAGGCCATGAGAACATCATTAGTGACTTTTACTAGTGCTGTTTCTGTGCTATGATGAGCTCTAAACCCTGACTGAAACTCTTCAGATTATTTCTTTGTAGATGTTCACGCGGGCAGCACGGTGGCGCAACTGGTAGAGCTGCTGCCTCTCAGCGAACAGGTCCCTGGTTCAAACCCCGGTCCAGGGGCCTTCTGGGTGGAGTTTGCATGTTCTCTCCGTGCATGCGTGGGTTTTCTCCGGGTACTCCGGTTTCCTCCCACAGACCAAAAACATGCATGTTAGGCTGATTGGTAACTCTAAATTGTCCCTAGGTGTGAGTGAGAGAGTGAATGGTTGTTTGTCTCTATGTGGCCCTGTGATGGACTTGCGACCCGTCCAGGGTGTACCCCGCCCCCGCACAGTGATTACTGGACATGGGCACCAGCGACCCCCGTGACCCGAAATGGAATAAACGGGTAAAGATAATGGATGGATGGAGATGTTCACGCAACTGACCAACTATTTTCTCTAGAATTTTTGAGATGAAAGTTAGATTAGATATAGGTCTATAGTTGGCCAGAATTTCTGAATCAAGATCAGACTTCTTAAGGAAAGGTTTAATTACAGCAACCTTAAAGCTCTGTGGTACATAACCATCCATTAAAGACAAATTAAGTAGATCCAAAATGTGGACATTAATTAGTGGAAATACCTCTTTAAACAGTCTGGTTGGGATGGGATCTAGCAGGCATGTGGATGGTTTGGATGAGGGTATTATTTTTGACAATTCAGAGCTCAACAGGACAAAAACTGTCCAAACATAAATCAGGCTCTAGTGAAATTTTTAAAGTTGCCTCATTTGACAGGGGACTAGAGATAGTAGAAGGAAGGATGGTTTGAATTTTCTCTCTAATGGAAATAATTTTATTTATAAAGAATCTCATGAAGTCATCACTACTTATAGTTGTAGGGATACATGGTTCAACAGAAATGGGACTTTTAATTAGTCTAGCAATAGTACTAAACAGAAATCTAGGGTTATTTTTATTCTCTATTAAAGATGAGTAATATAAAGTTCTAGCTTTACAGAGAGCTTTTTTATATGTTAGCAGACTATCTTTCCAAGTTAAATAAAATTCTTCAACATTAGTAGAGCGCCATTTTCTCTCCTGGTTTCTAGATGCTGCTTTAAAGTACATAACTCAGAATTGAACCAAGGAACCAGTTTCCTCTGATTGATTACTTTCTTTTTCAGTGGAGAAATTTTATCAAGTGAAGTTTGCATCGAAGTTGTAAGATGATCAACTAGATGATCTAAGTCTCTGTTCTCTGATGCATTACTCTGCAAGACAGAGGAAAACATTGATGGAAGAGATTGTTTCAATTTGGTTACAACATTTTCTGATAAGCACCTGCTGAGATGAAATTTACTCTGTGACTGTGTAGTCATTTAATGTAAACTCAAAGTTATTAAAAAATGGTCGGACAGAACAGGATTTTGAGGAACTATTACCAAGTCCTTAATCTCTACACCATAGGTCAGAACTAAATCAAGAGTGTGATGATAAGAATGAGTAGATGTGCGGACGTTTTGGGTAAAACCAAATGAGTCTATTAAATTATTAAAGGCTATGATTAAACTATCACTCTCAACATCTACATGAATATTGAAATCACCCATTATGATGATTTTATCAGTATTTAATAATAAGTCAGTTAATAATTCTGAGAATTCAGACAAAACCTGAGAGTCAGCTCCTGGTGGACGATATATAACAACTAGTAAAAGTGTCTTTTCTGATTTCCATTTTGGATGAGAAAGACTGAGGGACAGCGATTCAAAAGAATCATAACTAATAACTGGTTTGGCATTAATCAATAATCCTGACTGAAAAATAGAAGCTACTCCTCCACCTCGGCCAGTTGTTCTAGGAACATGAACATTTAAATAATTAACAGGAGTGGATTCATTTATACCAACAAAATCCTCCTGTTGTAGCCAAGTTTCTGTCAGACACAATAAATCAATATGATGATCAGTTATCAGTTCATTAACTAACAGGGATTTAGGCCCTGTACACACGTAGCCTGGTGTTTGAAAAAACGAATATCCGCGCAAAAAAATATCGCCGTACATACATGTTCGGATAGAGAAAATGATCGTCTACATGAACCCGGTGATGTTCACCACAGAGCGTTGTAAAGAATATGCCCAACCCATAGGAGGCAGTGTAGTGCAAAGGTGAAACGTATATCAGCCAATCACAACCCTTCAAAGCAACCACAACTTCCTGTTAGTATTGAATCATGGCGCCTGGAGGTTCGTTTGTGTGGACAGACCGCGAGGTTGAACTACTATTAAATACCGTGTTGGAGTACAAAGTTAATAAAACTCAGGAAAATGTCGACTGGGAATCCTGTCAGAACAAGTATGTTGATATTTTAGCGCTTTTTTTAGAGCATTACCCAACGGAGTCCTCCGACGAGTTTCCCCATTCACATGCCGACATCACGCGCGGGAATTTAACAACAAAAATGAAAGCAGTCCGAGGTAAATATCGCCATGCTGTTGATACAGGACGCAGGAGTGGACACGGTCGAGTGGTTCTTCTGTACTTCGAACTGTGCGAACAAATCTGGGGTGGCTCTCCAGCTAGTACTACCATATCCTCCGGTATTGAAACAGCTGACCTGGATCATTCTCGGACCCTACCCTCACCATCCACATCTTCTTCCTCCACTACCATGGATGTAGCAGACACAGGGTCTGATAATGAAAGCAGTGTGGGTCCTACTTCAAAGGAGAGGAGAGACCTGCTTGATGTACGTATATTTTTCTGTCCATTCCTCATAAATAAAAGTACTTTTGCTGTAAATGTTCATCTGTTGGATGTACTATAATTCACGGAACAGGTTTGTTGAATTGTGTTGCTATTAAAAATACAGTTAAGGCAATATGTGTGTTAAAAATTATGCAAGAGTTGAGGTGTGTAGTGGAGGCTGGAATGTGATGTTTTTTATATTTTACTGTGTACGGGTTGCTGATTTATTTTTATTATTATTGCAAAAAAGAAATGACACCATCATGCTCTTACTCATCTCATATTATGTTAGGCCTACATATTCATTAGTTTGATGGGGTGGTGGGTACAAAATACACTTTAAGACATATAGCAAACATTGGATACGCTGTTATTACATATTGTTATGTAGAAGTGATGTGAAAAGTACAACATCAACATGATCCAGGTTTACTTTTTTATGTTTAATTGTGATGATTTTCATTTCTCTTTTGAAGGCAAAACTAAAAGGACACAGACACGACCGTCTGAGGAGAAAGCTGCCTGCTGAGACCCAGTGGCTGAATGCTCTTGAGGAAGACCAGCGTGTGAAAAAGAGACTGGTGGAAATCATTGAGACATCAGAACAAAAAGCATCCGAAAACTATTAAAAAATGTCCAATACACTGGAAAGACTTACCACATCGATTGTTGATGGGTTTTCTCTTCTGAAACAGGTCATTCATGCACCTGCACAACCACCACACTACATGCCATATGAGCCAAGAGGTCCGATGTATTCGCACACAATGGCCCACCATTCTGTCCACCAAAACTCAGCAAATTACCCATACCCAAACAACTCCACTTCTGACAGAACACGTCAAAACACAAGACCAGGAAACACTATGAACACTGAAGCTGTGTTCCACACACCTGCTGAAGCCACTGACCAATTTTCATTCAGTCAGGCCCTTTTTAATGACCAGTAGAGTACTGTTTTATACATCGAAACAAGTCTGGTACAGTTAAGTATATACAAGTTCCACTTTTGCACAAGGTTGCACACATGTCAGGTTGTTAATCACAGTGTTATTTACTCTGACAGTGTTTTTTTTCTGTTTGCTATCTTTTTATACATACTGTGAAAAGCTTAAAATGTAGCAATTGCACAATACTTTAACTATTTACATTTTTGTTACGTGAATCTTTATAAGAGTGGTGATCTAGTCCAGTCCTTGGGAGCTACTGCTACTTAGATGTATTTCTCCAAAACACCACTATCAAATACATACTGATGATTGAAATCAGCTATTTCATACTGGTTTGTTGAAGAAAATGCAGCTGAAATGTACCTGTGGTAGCTCCCAAGTTATGGACTTGGGCATCACTGATTTAAAAGTGTACAGTAACTGTGCTGCTTTTCTCCCATGTTTAAAAAGCTTTATCTGTTGTAGATCTGTTATAATCTGATCTGTTCATAAATGAAACACAAAATAAGAACATGTTAAGTGTGTTCGTTTGAATAAATTGACAAACATTTTAAAAGCAAGTTTCTTTATGTGAATTTTTGTGAATATGACATTTATCAGTTACAAATACAGTCATGTTCATCAGAAAGTATTGGCAGCACTATTTAATACACTACAGGTCCAATTTTAAGAGAGAAAAGTAAAATCATTTCACTTAAAAGTCTGTCTAATGAGCTACAAACTATTATATAATGTATCTAAATCCTGGGTGGTAGCTTTTCATGCATTAATAGAATGAAATGCAATAACATTGCACAAAACAATTTAAAAATTCTCTAACATACATGGTGCTAACTATAACGTTTTTTTATGAAAAAACAACGCAGTCTGCTAAATAGTTCACAGGTTTTTGTGTTTATGGATCCAGACACTGAGTGAGGACTCTCCTGACCCGCTTTCCTTCTGCTGCCAAGCTGTCTCCTCTGACCACTGGCTGTGTGTCCGGTTGATTGTTCCTGTCATGTTGAATAGCTTCAGTTATTCTGTTTTCATCCACAGTGTCTTTTGATGCCTCACAAAAATTGTGCAACACAAAACATGCATATATAACAAATGGAAGATCGTTCATATTGATGTCCATGGCTCTCCTCAGGGCTCCAAATCGGGCTTTTAGTCTTCCAAATGCACATTCAATCACCATTCTAGCTCGGCACAACGAAAGTCCAAAGTACTGCTCCTGAACATTGCTTCCTCCGTTAGCATATTCTTTCATCAGGTAAGGTAGAAGTGGGTATGCAGGGTCACCCAGTATGTAAATGGGTATAGCGTCTTCGTTCTCCACAATTTGTCTTGGACAGGGGGGAATCTTCATGTTTTTCAGATTTGTGTTTATTGTGGAGTTAGCAAAAACTCTGGCATCATGCACACTCCCTGGCCATTTCACAACTACATCAATAAAGCTGTACTTGTAATCACAGGTGGCTTGTATGTTAAGAGAAAACCTCCCCTTCCTATTTAGGTACTCTGTAGAATTAGCTGATGGCTGCTTTATCTCCACATGAGTCCCATCCACAGCTCCAAGGCACTGAGGGAGACCATAAGCCTGCTCAAATCCCTCAACAAGTGCACGCACAGCAGTCTCTGTTGTTGGCATTTTTATGTAAGATGGTCCCAAGTACACAGTTATAGCCTTACACACCTCTCTAATTATGTTTGAGACTACTTGTCTTGATAAGCCAAATGCATTGGCCGTTTTACGCAGTCTTCCCTCGTCAGCCAAATAATATAGCGTGCATGCAACTTTTTTGACCACACAGACTGGAGATCGCATTACAGTACTCTTCCCTTGAATGTAAGGAAGGAGTAACTCCGAGAGCGACAGTAATGACGACCGTGACATTCTGAAGTTCTCACGCCATTCCTGTGGGAGAACAATTTCCTTCTCAAAGTTTTCCCACCAGCCAGCAGTGCGTCCAGGTCTGATCCAAAACCGGCGACGGCGACGCTGAATGGCGGTATTGTGCCTCCGTATCGGTAGGGATAGTTGCTGTAAAAGAGCTGAACGCCAAACGCTTTTTCTCCTTTGTAATTCCATCTGTTGGAGCAGTTGTGCTTGTAAAAACAAGCAAGCAAAAATTGCCTGAACCAGCGTTACAATTAGTACTTCCCTAAACGCAGTCATTTTCCCTCCGAATGAATGGGCAAACAAAAACAATTGTCGCACATGTGACGTCAGCGCCGCGCTGCACCATCTGTCGCAGACATAATGCGCATATCTCCGGTTCCGAAAGTCCACACGCAAACCCGAAAGAGGAGATTTCTCAAATCTCCACTTTGGTCGGAGTTTTTGTTATTATTCGTTTATAGTTACATCAACCGGAGTTCACGTGTGGATGAAAGGCCACACCGCATGATAAACTATTCGGTTTTCCTGATATCCGGCTACGTGTGTACAGGGCCTAATAGTAG